CCTTAACGATAAAAGATGAAAATCTCCTCTTTTTACCTCTCTTTTTGCATAATTGCTTGCACATCTGGACTAACTCTAAGGTTTAAAATGCAGCTGTGTGAACTGTCCTTCCAGAAAACTCACCACTTGAGGAATCCATACAATGAGAACTTACCAGTGAAGGTATAAGCCTAAGCCTTTAGCTGTTGATTCTTTAACCAATTTCAACTAGTTTAATTTCCAGTGTAACTGCTCTAAGAATGTTGATGTCCAATGATTGATTTAGACTGGGATTGACATATCTAATCGGCAAGAAATTGTGTTTGTATTGAAGATTGCTGTAATTTTCCAAAAGTCTTTCCTCATGGATGTGTAATACACATCACCAACAGGCCTGGCCAACCATTGACTAGTTGAATTTCCCACCCCTCTATCCCCATAAGTCTTTCTTTTTAACAAAAAACAACCTTGGTTTTTCCATTTTATGATCTTCCTTTTACTAAGATTTTAATTGGTGATTGATGCTTATGATATCCGAAATAGAAGCTCTTTAGTTGGTCTGTTTTGTTTTATTTGGATGCTAGAATTGGTCTGCATGCTGTTGTTACTTTCAGTCACCTTTTCAATGTTGTATTTTGCTCCTGTTGTTGCAGATAAGCAGAGATTGTCAAGAATTAGAACCCTCTGTTGGTGAGCAGTTGGCTTCTTTGCTTTATCTTGAACCAGATAGCGAACTTATGGTACTTCTTTTACTTCTTTTGAATGTTGTCTTCAATCGAGTTTTCTTTTTCTAGATGGTAATGCTTCCGTTCCTGGAGCTTTCGGGGCACTTCAGCATGTCACTTGTCTCGGTATAATATGTATAAGACCAAATTGATAATATGTTCTTGGAAAGACTGCATTAGCTATGAATATTGACAATATGCATAAAACCACTGCTGATATATACAATGAAACACTTTGTTACTGCTTTCATGGCTATCTCCGTGAAAGCATGGTATAGTTTCTGCTTTTGGTTTCAAAAAGAATTTCTGGTTTTGGTTGCAAGAATTTCTTGGGCAGTCGCTAGCTTAAACGTTTTGAAGTTTTTAGCATTATTAATTTGGATGATAAGCGAGAATACTTTGTGCCGTTTGTGAATATGGTTTGCTGCCTGATCTTAATCAGATGTTCCTGACAATTATAATGCAGTTTATTGTAGCAAGTCTGATTTACTTTTTGTTTGGTTGCAAAAATGACAGAAAATGTTGTTGGCTTCAAATGGACTAATTATTCCTGAAACTCAGTCAATTCCTTTTGTAAGACAATTAAGAATCTATGCCATTTTCCGTCTCTAGGTTTAACCTATAATATCATACTTTAGGAAAAGTAGTTGAAGTATGAATGCCCAAGTACCAAAAAGAATTTCCACACACTTGGGCCAAGAAAAAAAGGTCAGTCTCACGCGTATTGCAGTCCTAATATGAATAAATAACGTGCTCCCTCTCTAATAGCTTAAACTCTCAATGTGGTTGTCACACAATTCAAAACTTACCTATTTTCTGCAAGTCATCCTTGGTAAGTGTTCTTCCCATGTTGCTCTCTGAACAAACTTTGCTATCTTTGGTGGAGTTTTTATTTTCACATTGCTTTTAGTGGAAAAGGATCTGCTTTGGCCCGTTAATAATCAAAATGTCACATCAAGAGCACAACATGTGATGCGTGGATTAGGTGCACGACATAAGTTCGAACCTTGCCGTAGACAAAAGCCTGGTATCTAAGTGGGGAAGCATAGATGTAGAAGAGCGGAGCCATTATCTATCGACTAGTATTTAAGTGGAAAAGGTTAGGACCGAACTAGTACTGGAAATCTCTTTGTTCTATTGTCTGACTACCAAGGCTCTCCACTGTCCTCACATGGGGCTGTCCAAGATTTTGTTGTGATCTGATTCTCTAGTTTCTTCAGTTCTCCCCTAATTTTCCACAAAGCACCAATCTCTATTGGGACTGGGTTAATTTCATTTAGATTATGACATAGCTTGGTTTGGACATGTTACACACAGTTGTCTATTTTTATTTTGCTCGATTTGATAATGACTCGATTTTATCCAATCATGCTTCAAGTTCAACCCAGTGTTTCAGAGTCCTCAAACTCAAATTTGGCTTCAATCATTCCCTTTGGTTGTAATGTGCTGATTGTCATTAAGCATCTAATGCTTGAAGTATCCACGATGAAAAAGCACATGGTGGCTATAGGAACATTAGAAACTATGTCGTATTGCAGTTGGAATTCGGGTAGACTCTATTCTAATGGGATATTAACTGTATTTCAGGCAATCTCACTTGCAGCAGAATCCAAGAGACAGGAAGAAAAGGCGAAGGGAGTGAACCCTGACAATGGGAATGATAATCCAGATATTGTACCATTTGAAGACAATGAAGAAGAGGAAGATGAAGAAAGTGAGGACGAGGATGAAAGCTTTGATCAAGGTTTCGGACCAGCTGCTCTTGGCAGAGGAAGGGGGAGGGGAATTGTGTGGCCTCCAATAATGCCTTTAGGACATGGGCCCAGGCCTCTTCCTGGGATGCGGGGCTTCCCTCCGGGCATGATGGGTGATGGATTTTCTTATGGAGCTATGACACCTGATGGTTTTCCAATGCCTGATCATTTTGGAATGGGTCCCAGACCTTTTGGTCCATATGGCCCACGATTTTCAAATGATATGATGTTTCATGGCCGCCCTCCAGCTGGTGGATTTGGGATGATGATGGGTCCCGGAAGGCCCCCTTTCATGGGCGGGATGGGTCCCGGAGCGACAGGCCCACCCAGAGCTGGTCGAGCAGTTGGTATGCATCCATCATTTGTTCCACCCTCATCTCAGCCTTCTCAAAATCCTTATAGGCCTAAAAGAGAACAGAGAGCTCCAGTTCATGACAGGAATGATAGATTCAGCTCCGGTTCAGATCAAGGTAAGGGTCAGGAGATGGCGGGCTCAGTTGGTGGACCAGATGGAGTAAATTATCCCCAAAGAGGGAAAACCGAACAAGATGCCCAGTTTGGTGCTGGAAACGGCTTCAAAAATGATGAAAGCGAAAGTGAGGATGAAGCACCAAGAAGATCAAGACATGGGGATGGAAAGAAGAAGAGGCGGGATACTGATGATGATGCTGCAACTGCTTCAGAAAAATAGGTGTCATTCTAAACTAAATATAGAAGTCATCTTGTCTTTGCAGCTGTTTGTAACACATGCTTCCACAGGGGCAAATGTGACTAGTTTTAAATTATAAACCCATCTGCCAACTGTTTTTGCAGATTAAGAAAGAGAAGTCATCTTACATTCCGGCTGGGAGACATACTAAATGTCGCCTCCTGCCAGAATATTCGGCCTGACTGAGAAATTAACAGAACTTTTAGTTAGCAAAGAACTGTACAAGTAATTTCGTCGAGATTCTTTGAGTTATATTATATGTCCTTTGGTGTGTAAAACAATTACATATACACGCATAGATTAGATACAATTTGTGGAACATTCCTGTTAGCTCTATTTTTCTCGTCATGCTGGCATAGTTGTGACATACTGAAGCATGAAATTTGGTTGAAGGTCGTGTCATGAAACATTAGAAGTTGATGGACTTGATTTGTGTCTATGAATTAGTTTTGTTGCTGATCTTTGGAAAACAAGTTTAGCAGGTTTGTACTCAGCCCCTTTCCTTTTAGATTACAATCTATTTTGAAGGTGAAAATGGTTGCTCAGGTTTGCCATTTGACTATATTGCAGTGCATAACCTTCATGTAGTTGACAAATCTAAAATAATTCCCCTCCTTATTTGATGGCTTAAAAGTTATCTTAAGTAATTAGATATGTAATGTGCTTGATAAAGAAAATAAAAGGCCAATTAATCCAGTAAACACCTTATAAAATCTAAGTAAAAAAGACTTGCATTAGAAAAGGAAGAAGCTCAAAATACGTTGGAGTTTAAGCTCTTAAACTAGTGACATGACTTTGTTTTATGCTGTGAATATACACATTCTTTGTTTTATGCTGTGAATAAACAATACTAGTATGTGTGTCGATGGATATTTAAAAACTGACCAAATCGTACTATATCAAGTCGATTTTTAGGTTTCTTTTAATAAAATCATAGTTTTTTTTATAAATTTATAACTGTACCGATAATTAGGTAGCTTTTTGAATTTATGAAAATAAACCAAAAGATACCGAACCATACCGAATAAATTTATATTGAAAAATATATTTATATATTAAATTTTAAAAATAATAAAGTATTACATTTTTCTTGGAATAATGACAATGTTTACGAGCCAACAAGTATTTAAAACTCAGAATCCTCCAAACCTATTACGCTACTCATATTGAAACTAAATTACTTCCAGCATATTCACTAGCAAGACACAACGTATTCTAGAGATTATGAGTAGCAAACTACAATGTATCGAATATGTTTCCTTTCATATGATTTAGATTTATCCTTTTGATATTTAATAATCTTCTATAGATTTTATTCTTGAGTCTCAGCTTGGTTTATATCTTTGCACTCGTGATATATATATATATATATATATATATATATATATATATATATTGTCTTTGCTTGATTTCTTTTACATTGTTGTAGAATAATTGATTGATATATATACGCTGGTCATCTTTCATGTTTTCTTAATTCACCACTCTTTAAACAATAAAATTTTCTAGAGAGTTTTGCTAAGTCAAGTACGTATATTATTGCATTCTACTTCTACTAGTGACTTTTACATGACATTTAAAAACAATACCGAAAATTAACTGAACCGTATTGATACCGAAGAGAAATCGATATGATTGGGATGGTTTTGAAAAGTGTAATTTTGGTTATACATAATAGAATAATCAAAAATTGGTATTGGTATAAATTTTATAAAATAACCGACGGAACCGAATATATATATATATATATATNCTTTGAAGGACCAGATCTATTGTCATTAGTATTGCACGAATTTGGGGTTCATTTTCTTATTTTGTAGTAGCTTTACAAATTGTAGAAAGTCTTCGAGATATAGTTGAACATAAAATTGGGATACTTATATTTTACATGTAGAAGATTAAGGTTGAACAATAGAATGTCTTCCAGCATATTTGAATTCCCTGTACACGTGAAGAGGTTTAAATTTGGGGGAGAAAGAAGAAGGAGAGAAAATGGAAAAGATTGGAATTTAATACATTACATTTTTATATGAATGGTAAACATGTATATGAAATTTAATTAAGTGATAATCTCTCTAAGAGAGGTAAATAAGTTTATAATATAGCGCTGATCGGTAAAAGTTTCTCAATGAAATTATTATATATAAAAAATGTTTGATATTTAATTAGTCGTCATCCGGTATATAGAAGCATTTATAATATGTAGTTTAGCAGAAATTTTCTAACATTAATATATATATAGTCAAATCTCTCTATAACAACCTCGTTTGTTTCAGATATTTTTGGATGTTATAACGAATTGCTGTTATAGAAAATATATACTCCCTCCATTTCAAATTAGATGAGATACTTTCCTTTTTAGTTTGTTCCAAAATAAATGACACATTTCTAAATTTGGAAATAATTCAACTTTAAACTATTTATTTTATCCATTTTACCTAGGGGTATCAATGGATATTTAAAAACCAACTAAATCTTCCGAATCGTACCGTACTGAACCGTTTTTTAGGTTTCTCTTAATAAAACTATAGGTTTTTCTATATATCTATAATTGTACCGATAATTAGGGTAAGTTTTTTTATTTTATGAAAATAAACTGAAAAAATACCAAACTGTACCGAATAAATTTACAATGTGAAAGATATATTTATATATTAAGTTTAAAAATAACAAAGTATTAAATCTTTTCTTTGGGCCTTGGATTATGAAACAGTTACAAACCAACAAGTAATTAAACTCAAAATCCTAATTCCCAAACCTATTATGCTACTTCTATTAAAATTAAATTATTTCTAGCATATTCAATTGCAAGACGCAAGGTATTGTAGCGACTATGTGTAGCAAACTACAATGTATTGAATATGTTTCCTTTCGTATGATTTAGATTGATCTTTTTGAATGTTTAATCTTCTATAGACATTATTATTGAATCCAACTTTGTTAATATCTTTTCACTTGTATGATTTATATTTTCTTTCTTTTACGCTGTTGTAGAATAATTGATGGATCTATACTCTAGCCATCTTTCATATTTTTTTAGTTTATCACCTTTTAAACAATAAAAATATCTAGAAAGTTTTGCTAAGTCCGATAAAAATACGTATGCCATTGCATTCTACTTCTACTAGTGACTTTTGCATAACATTTTAAAAAAAAATATCGAAAATTAACCGAACCGTACCGATACCGAAGAAAAACCGACATGATGGGGACGGTTTTGAAAAGTCTAATTTTGGTTATACATAATAGAATAACTGAACGAATTGGTAAGGTACAAATTTTATAAAATAACCGGCCGAACCGAACCATTGACACCCCTAACACCCCCTAGTTTTATCCTTAATGAGAAGCTTTTATAACCACAAAAATGTCATGGCCCCACAAAGCTTTTACCCCTTAAGCTTTTGAGATCACAAATTTCAAATGTCTTCTTTTTTTCTTCTTCTTAAATTCCGTACCGAGTCAAACTACTTCATCTAAATTGAAACGGAGGGAGTATTATAATAGAACATGAGATTTGGTTTCGGAAAAAATTTGGCTTTTATAGATAAGTGTTGTTATATAAGGATGTTGCTATAGAGAGGTGTATACCTTGAAAATGGTAATTACAATTAAATTTGATTTTGTGGTTCTAAAAATATGTGATATGTTTTTATGCTAGTGGTAAGGCAGTAGATGCTAAGCGTGAGACTAGAAAATAAGATAAGAACTTGAAAATAGTGTATTTAGGCAAACCGAGCGGCCGAGAATCGGGGCCTCGAGGTCGAGCCCGACACTAAGCTATGGACAGCCGATGAAGAGCTAACAATATTGAGAGCTTTAATGAAGGATCTTTATGATCAATGATGAGCAATAAATGAAGAACAACAAATAGAACACAACAAATATAAGCAATAAATGTAAGTAGTGAAGCCAAGAGAATATGTTTAAGTCAGAGAGCAGAGAATGTTTCTTGTATTGAATGTTGTGAATAATGTATTCCTCCTACAAAATGACAAGGGTTCCTTTTATATACCAGGGGAAATTCCAATATAGTATAAGTGCATTTATTACAAAGATATGTGGTTGGTACAACCCTTTAATATCACGGTACGAGCTTGAACTAGCCTAGTAGACTTGATCAGCTTTAGTCATGTGCCTTGGGAACTTCCCGTTAGTCCATCATAGCTGCTGATTTGCATTGCCTCGAGATCGATCATTGGGAACCCTCGGGGTCGATCCCCGAGCTGAACTTCGAGCCTTCTGGGGGCGGTATTTACGAGGTGCCTTAGCGGTCACAAAATCGGACCCTCTGATTTTTGCCGTATACAGATAGTCCCCGCATTTCTTAGATTAAAATGATAAGAAACGGTCTTGAATTCTCGCCTACTCGATACTTACTACCATGACATCAGTCCATCAGAGCATTAAATGCCATGACTTAAAAGTCGCGCAGGAGTCGCTGTTAACACGACTATCGAGAAGCCCACAAACCGCAGCTGGTTCGGCCCTTCCGCTTCCCAAACCCTGCCCATACACCCTCTATAAATACCTCAATTGCTTTTTTATTCACACTTCTACAACATCTTCAATCCCATAGAGCTAAGTTCACCATCTCCTACATTTTTCTCATTTCTGCGTTTGCCTCCTTGTTTCTCAGAAACCTTTCTATTGCCATGGCTAGGACCTCTAAAACAGTGCTTCAGAGAGAGGGAACTGCTTCTTCGTCTCGACCATCCAGGGGTAAACCAAAAGTACCCCAACTGTCGAACAATGTACCCCTACTAAATTCAATTTTGTATCCGATTTTTCCATCGAGAATCCTTCTAATACACCAGGCTGATGCGAGCATGTATCTCGGTACATCAGTGTGGTGACCAATATAGATAGAGTGAAGGAAGACTGCCAATGGGGGCCCAGCAGTGTCAGTTGAGATTCCCAGACCTGCTGAAAGCATAGTAGACCATAAGGCTGGCTTTCTCAGTGTATATACATACCCCTTTACTTTAGGTCCCGTAGATTCTTCGGACCCTTCTTCTCCTTCGATAGACCTGGTGATCCTCGACTTCTATTGTGGGTATCGGGTGAAGCTTGGCCAAATTTATCCTTCATTCTGGAGGATAGTCTATATGCTCCAATATTTTTCTAACCAAGTCGAGGGTATGTCCTTCACTCTCAATCACTTGATCAGACTATATAGCCCCCATATCTTTCGCGGTTTGATCAAGCTTTATCCTCGATCTACGTGGACGTTCTTCTCGAGCATTAATGAGGACAAGAATTGGGGGTAGATGAGCCGGTTCCTCCGAGTGAAGACCTCGGACATAATCCCGGCTAATATG